TATGTAACCTTTTCCCATTGTTGGTTTGCAATTACCTGTGAATTCTGAATTCTGTGCAATTGGATAGATAATGAATAGTACATCACATCTGTTTAAGAATAGTAGTCACCTCTGTTTAAGAATAGAGGAATACTTGCAACCATTCAAAACTAGGAATTCAAAACTAGACTAAGCCATAGGTATTTGTGACATTAGTAGAACTGCTTTATGGTAGGAATGGGAATTACAGTGCTTCTTGGTCAGTGTTGACAGATAAAGAACCAGAAGTAGGTATGTGTTTGTGACATGGATTTCCTGTATATAAACAAGAACTTACTAACTTTGCCTCTGGAAGCCTGTGGCAGAGATTGAAAATTCATTCTGAATTTTGAGTCCTAGTTAAAGATCTCTGTATAATTGCAACTAAGGTGTTGGAGGAGAAGAATTGTACCACCTTTAAGATGGCTAGGAGGTGCTAGAAGGAAGCACTGTGTTTTTCACGTTTATTTTGGGGTCTCTGCAGTCTAGTTAGGGGGTTACTGGGAAAAAATAGGCAATAAAGTCTGATGCTAGACGGTAAGCTGAATGCACCATTTCTTTCCTCCCTTTGCAAATATGAAGAGCTTCTGGTTTTGCAACAAAATGGTGGGTGAACTATTGATGCTTTTAAAAATCAATGCTATGGTTAATTATCTCAGTGCAGTCACTTACGTATGCATCATTGCCCTCTTTTCTGCGTTCCCACATCCCTCTGAAACTGGACACAGCCCTTGCTCTTCAAGTAATGGTAATAATTGGTAGTAAGACAGACCTGTTACTCATCCTTTTCTGAGCACACTTCTTATGGCAGGTGTCTAGTTTTTAATTAAGTGCTAATGAACATGCCTAGTGGACCATGATACTGCTGCCAACTTCTTCAGTTTTATATCTCACTGCTGCTAAGCTCTTAAAAGGTGGCAGACCAGGCATTAGTGTCTTTGAAGTGACAGGAAAGTGATTATATGCATAACAATTGTTTCTAGGATGTACAATGGCAAATGTCTAGTTTCTAAATACATCTGGTGAGCACTGCTGTTATGCATCTACCCTGTCTTTAGTTTTTCTCTTTGTGCGCAGTATCATATTCCTTTTTCTAGAAAAAATGCAATATACTTTTGGCAATTCAAGTTGTATAAATAAAAAGGTAACAGGGTATGAACTTTTGGAAAGGATTATGTTTATTGGTGTGTTAGAAAGAATTTAACATCTTTGGCATTAAAGACCATGATCAGTTTTTTGGTCATATGTCTATTTAATATTGTTGCAAATTTAAGCATCTTTGTGAATTATTTTTTTCTGCTGCCCTAAGTAACCATTTTGCAAAGCTGCAGGGTATTGCGATGAAGTTTCCATCTACAGCTCTCGTACTATATTCTATACCTTAAACTGGGCGTTGCTCCCCAGCTTTCACATGCCGTTCTGTCAGAAACAGGATGTAGCCCTTCTGTGTCACATCCCTTCAGTGTTAAGGACTTCGTTGGAAGAGATTAATCTGTTCATAATTTCTGGGACTTACAAAATACACTTTGTGTAGGCTACAAAGCAGAGCAAGTGTAATTGCAGGTAGCATGTCCTTAGCAGGTTGGTTTCTAAAGAATTAAGCTTCGCTTCCTGAAATTGTGTGGATTAACTTATTTGCTAATTGAACTGGGCATGAAAAAGCAGAATCTTCACAGGCGTCCTGAAGCTACAGGGACAAGAATAGAAACAATTTAACTTCATTTCCCTGTTTTGACTTCCTGTGCCCACACTGCAAAATAAGCTAATTTGAGCTCACTGTTGGAAACAGGAACAGGTTTCTCTCCACAAAACTGATTTGGAGGAGAGAAATCAATTTTTGTTCTTAGCCAATTTCACACCACAGCTAGGTAATCCAGTGTGATAGTACACCTGGGGACAAGACCGAGGTTATGAATGCATTGTAGTGCTGCTGATGCATGTTGTTGCATGGGTAGAAGCGCAGATGACCAAGCTCGTTGATCAAAGAGGAACAGAATGACTTAAGATACCATCTCTCTTAAAGAGCCTTCCAAAATATCAAGTTTTCTCTTGAGTTGAAGAAATATGTTGGAAACTACTGATAAAGTCTGTGAGAGGGAGAGATATCCTCTTGTTCTTCAGAGTTTGAATGGGAAAAAAAAACACAGTATTGTCAGACTTCTGCAGTGCTCTTTATTGATGCTTCTGAAGAAGCAGCAGTGTAGTGAAATGAGGTTTCACTAGCAGTAGCAATAGCAACTTGATTTTGTAGAAGCTGGTCTGCTGCTTTAACTTTTTCAAATGAAAATAACTCCTAATGCTTCCTTCAAAATATTACTTTCTATGTTCTTATAAACATTAAAGTAAAAGAAAAAGAGCTACCTTTCTCTTACCTTGTCTTTTAAGTGTATTTAAGAGTTGGTAAGAATAGAGATGAGAATGTAGAATCATAGAATCATAGAATATAGAATATCCTGAGTTGGAAGGGACCCTTAAGGATCATCAAGTCCAACTCTTGACACCGCACAGGTCTACCCAAAAGTTCAGACCATGTGACTAAGTGCACAGTCCAATCTCCTCTTAAATTCAGTCAGGCTCGGTGCAGTGACCACTTCCCTGGGGAGCCTGTTCCAGTGTGCAACCACCCTCTCTGTGAAGAACCCCCTCCTGATGTCAAGCCTAAATTTCCCCTGCCTCAGCTTAACCCCGTTCCCGCGGGTCCTGTCACTGGTGTTAATGGAGAAAAGGTCTCCTGCCTCTCGACACCCCCTTACGAGGAAGTTGTAGACTGCGATGAGGTCTCCCCTCAGCCTCCTCTTCTCCAGGCTGAACAGGCCCAGTGCCCTCAGCCGTTCCTCGTACGTCTTCCCCTCCAGGCCTTTCACCATCTTCGTAGCCCTCCTCTGGACACTCTCCAACAGTTTCATGTCCTTCTTATACTGTGGTGCCCAGAACTGCACACAGTACTCGAGGTGGGGCTGCACCAGCGCAGAGTGGAGCGGGACAATCACCTCCCTTGACCTACTAGCGATGCCGTGCTTGATGCACCCCAGGACACGGTTGGCCCTCCTGGCTGCCAGGGCACACTGCCGGCTCATATTCAACTTGCTGTCTACCACGACCCCCAGATCCCTCTCTTCTAGGCTGCTCTCCAGCGTCTCATCGCCCAGTCTGTACGTGCAGCCAGGGTTTCCCCGTCCCAGGTGCAGGACCCGGCACTTGCTCTTATTGAACTTCATGCGGTTGGCGATCGCCCAGCTCTCCAACCTATCCAGATCCCTCTGCAAGGCCTTTCCACCCTCATTCGAGTCCACAACTCCTCCAAGTTTGGTGTCATCGGCAAACTTGCTCAAAATACCTTCTATTCCTACATCCAGATTGTTTATAAAAATATTGAAAAGTACCGGCCCTAAAATGGAGCCTTGAGGGACCCCACTGGTGACTGCCCGCCAGCCTGATGCAGCCCCATTTACCATAACCCTTTGGGCCCTGCCCGTTAGCCAATTGCTCACCCATCGTACGATGTTTTTATTTAGCTGTATGGTGGACATTTTGTCCAGAAGGATCCTATGGGAAACCGTGTCAAAAGCCTTGCTGAAGTCCAAGAAAATCACATCAGCTGGTTTCCCTTGGTCCACCATACGGGTGATCTTATCATAAAAGGAAATCAGGTTAGTTAGGCAGGACGTACCCTTCACAAACCCATGCTGGCTGGGACCAATGACTGCTTTGTCCCCCAGGTGTGCCTCAATAAGTTCGAGAACCATCTTCTCCATGATTTTACCAGGCACTGACGTGAGACTAACAGGCCTGTAATTGCTAGGGTCTTCTTTCTGACCCTTCTTGAAAATCGGCACAACATTTGCCAGCTTCCAGTCTACTGGGACCTCTCCAGACTCCCAGGATCGTTGAAAAATAATTGAGAGAGGTTCCGCAATGACGTCCACCAGCTCTTTCAGCACCCGGGGATGAATCCCATCCGGACCCATGGACTTGTAGGGATCCAGGTGGAGTAGCAAATCCCGCACACGTTCAGGGTCGGTTGGGAGTTTGTCATCCCCACCGTCCCGGTCCTCCAGCTCAGGGCACCCTGGGTCCCAAAGCCCATCATCGGCATTGAAGACAGAGGCAAAGAAGGTGTTAAGCGTCTCTGCTTTGCCTATGTCATTGTCTGTGAGGAGACCTTCTCTAACAAGGAGTGGCCCTGTGTATTCTTTAGTTCTCCTTTTTCCATTCACATATCTAAAAAAAACCCTTTTTATTTTCTCTCACAGACACAGCCAGCTTCAACTCTAGGTGTGCTTTAGCCACACAAATTTTCTCCCTACAAACACGAACAGCATCCCTGTATTCTTTCCATGACACCCGGCCCTCCTTCCAGTAGCGAAACACTCTCTGTTTCCGCCTAATCTCCATTAGAATGTTCCTGGTCAGCCACGCCAGCCTCCTGCCCCGCCTGCCTGACTTGCGGTATTTAGGAATTGCCTGATCTTGCGCTTCTAGGAGGCATCGCTTAAAGAATGACCAGCACTGGTGGACATCGAGGCCTTCAAGAGCAGCTTCCCAGGGGGCCTTGCTGACTAGTTCCCTGAGCAGCCTGAAGTCCGCTTTCCCCATATCTAGGGATGAGGTTTTGGTGGCACTTTTCCTTCTGTCACCGTAAATTTTGAACTCAACCACTTCATAGTCGCTATGACCGAGGCGGCCACCAATCACCACATCTCCCACCAGACCCTCTCTGTTTTCTAGCAACAGGTCAAGGAGGGCACCTTTCCTAGTTCGCTCCGTTGGCTCCGCTTCATTGCAATACATGTACATGTACATGTATTGCAATGAAGACTAAATTTTTTGTACACCATATGAAAATGAATTTGTGAAATTTGGTCTAAGAAGCCAAAGTTTTGGTACAGTTGTGGCTTTGTATAATTGCGTGAAGGGGTTTTAGTAGATTTTTGAGGTTTGTCCTGTATATGAGAAACAAGTAAATGATGGATGCTTTGCAGGTGGGGGCAACAGAGAAGTGCAAGCATAGCCTGTCCAGTCCAGAGTTCTTCAATGTGAGTTGCTTATGTCTGCAGGCATTCTTAAACAGCTCAAGGAATGTCTTGGGTGGACATGTATGAAATAAAAGTTACAGAGGTACGCTAGTTATCTCAATAGTAACGTAATTCATCTGCCTGTAGATACTATGTGGGTGTTGTTGGTTTGTTTTTCTTAGAGTCTTGGGAGGTATGGAAGAAGATATTTTGGAGTAATTTGTGAAATACTGTGATCTTAATTCTACCTTCTGCTTAGGTGAGCTTCCAGTAGCTCTCAGCAGTACTGTAATAACTTTGCCTACTGTTGACAGGATGACTGGCATTGAGTAGGTCAGACATTTGCTTGTGTGACATCTGCTTGATTGCATGACTTCAGTGATATTCCCTTGCTTTTTTGATGATGTCTACATTCAGCAGTGGGCGGGTGGAGTGTGTCCAAGCTTGTTGTTTTCTGTTCATGTGCCCAGGCACAAGAAAGCAGGAAAGAGGCAGAACATCTGTTTTGCTGTAGCAAACTAAAGAGGAGCTATGATTGAGCTAAAGATGGTTTTGAAACCTAATTTTCCCAAGAAATCTGTGCTCAGCATTTTGGTCAAAATAAATGGTTAGCTGAACTTGGAAAATGTTAGTAGAACCATAACAGCTTTAATTAGAAAATAACTTCCCTATTGAGTAAATATTAAAAAAAAATAAAATACAATAAAAAATCATCCATTATAAGGAATCTGTTTCTAAAATTGCTTAAAGGTTATTTTGTCAGTTTCATCACTGGGATGTTTATGTTTACTCATCAGGGTACTGACCCTGCCAGCTGATTTTAAAATAAAAAGAGATACTTTAATTCATTACTACCATATTTCCTTTGGGGAGTTTTCTGATGTTGTTGTTGCTCTCTGGAGTACCTGGATTTTAAACTCAAAATTGTTTCCTAAACACAATGTTATCTTGTGAACAGCTTTTTTCAAAAGCTTTAGTAGGAAAAAAAAAAAAAAAAAGATTTAACTATGCTTAGTATAAAATTATGTGGTGTCTTTTATTTATTTGTTAATACTCAAAATATAAACCTAATTATTCTTTCCAGATTTGGGTAGCAGGGGTGATGAAGGTGGGTTTAAATCAGTCTTACCAGAGAATTTTTTTATTATTTTTTATATTTTTTTTTCCCAGAGCAGTAGTATTCCTTTTTACAGAAAAGGAAGATTTTGAGGCCTTCTCTGGAGTTCTGCTACTGCTGTGTGTTTGTCACTCATAATGTTATGACAGAAAGTGGCTGCCTAAAACAAAACAGCTTCCAATCATGGAATATTTTTCTCAGGCTGTAGAACAAGTATTCAGTTAGTCTTCTTGTTTTATAGGTTATGATAAGAGTTGTCCACAGACAGCATAATACAGTGCAGTATCTATAGTGTATTGGGATAAAAGGAAAGCCTAGATTAAAAAAATAAAAATAAAAATGCACTGTTGGTTTTCAATAACTAACCAAACCTCTTCTCCCTTTTCCTTCCCAAACCATGTGCTATGCATTGTTCTTCTGGGGATGACGATAACGCTGGGAACAGCAGCAGCAGTTGCAGGCTCAACATCTCTCCCATGGCCATGGACCTCCAGTGCCTCTAACACCGCATCCATCAGGACTTCAGCCTTCAGGAATCCCTCCACTCGGAAGCAGTGCTGGCCTCCTTGCCCTTTCTAGTGCTTTGGGTGGGCAGTCTCACTTGGCAATAAAAGATGACAAGAAGCATCACGATGCAGAACACCACAGAGGTGAGAGGCATGGCAGGCCTGATTAGGACACTGTCAGATTTGCGCATTGCTGCAAGTTATGTGCATCTCTAAAGAAATCAAGTTACATAGAATGACAATAAACTGTTGGCAAACTTAAAAAATGTCTGCATATATACCACTGAAGCAAAATTCAGCTTGGAAACCTTCAGTATTTTAAATGGGGATCACTAGGTGTCATATGCCCTATAGTTTGCAGGGCATTTTGACATCCTGGTAAATGTTTAGTGCAACACCAGTGGCCTGCACCATATTGTGAAAAACTGTTAAACTGCTTAAATGGGTAATTTTTTTTCAAAGAAAGTAATGATGTTAAATGGGTAGGTGGGTGGGAAGGTAGGGGGAATGAGAAGTTAAATTTTGAAGTGAATGTGTTCAAACAAAGGATTTAGATAATTGCATCTGTTACTTTAGTTTCATAGGCTTAAATTCTAGTACGCAATTAAATATTGGGCAAAATTGCACTTGACTAATTTTTGAAAAGAAAATAATTTATTCTGTCATGAAATAAAACTAGGCTTTGTGTATGGTTAAACTGTAAATCATGTTTACAAAATACTGTAATTTTCAGGAAATCACTGTATTAGGAATGTGCAATGACTTATATAAATAAAAGCCATTTGAAAACTGTTTGTGGCTTGTGTTCTAATTTTTTCCCCCCTTTTTTATTTCTGTTCTTGCCTCTGTGTCTGAACGGGCATGTCTGTGCATTTCTTGGTTACTACGGGAGCAGACAGAGAGCCGGGCACAGTAAGTACCAATACTCCTGCTAACCTTTCCTCTTCTACCTTAAATAGCTATCAGAAGTTGCACTGTTTGTCTGATTTGTCCTTTTGATCAGTTTCATAATGGTCTAATATCCCTTGGTTTATGTGAAATACTAAAGTATTTTGCTTGGAGGAGTTTAGGAATCAGATATCTGAGCACAATCATGAGCTACTTGATTTTTAATTCTTATATAAAAAAAAAAAGTAAATCAAACAACTTTGATTGTAATTTAGTCTATAACATTATGTCAGAGTTAAGATGTTTCCTTGAGGATTTTCAGGAACAGAATTGCAGGACGGGTAAGAAATTTAGAACTCGTGTTACACTATGTTTGACCTTAGTTTCTTTATATGAATCTGCAAGAACTCCTTTACTTATAATTTGTGCTTCTCTAGCAGTACTGTTTTTTCTTTAGATATAATATGTAACAAATTTTGCCTAAGACAATCTTTGTAAAGCAAAAACCAAACAAAAATCCCACGCCAAAAATAATGCAGCCAAAGAACTGCTTTTTATAACAGCTTTTTATACTGTTATGTCTTGTGATTATTGTTGTTAATCTGTTAATGCAGTGGAGGTGGACAGGTACAGCTTTCACATCTTTTCTAGTAACAAAACTAGTTCTGCTTATTGATGCCAGAGGTGAATTAGAGCTTTGTGTATTTGTCTTCATCAGAAAAGACAAGAAATGTGAAATAGTTATTAACTATTAAGTTTATGATACTAAACTCCTGACTTTATTGCTTGATTATTTTTGTTGGTTGGTTGTTTTGTTTGTTGTTGGGTTTGTTTTGTTTTTTTTTTTTTTTGCTATGCAGTTGGCTTGTTCTTAATACTAGGGCTTGACAATTACTTTACTAGAAACTTTCTGCATATCTCCTAAGGCAATTATTTTTTATTTTCAGATTACTAAGTAAGAACATTCATTTCACCTTGCTTAATGCCAGTGTGACTGAGGAATTAATTTCAGGCTGGGTTTTCCTAAGTCTCAGACCTGTAAGGATATATTTCCTTAAGTAATACTGGCCAAGAGCAGGATTCTCTAGGACTTTTGTAAGAGTCATTGTGTTCACACATGCACGTATACCAGAGCAATGACTTTAAATTTAAGCTTGGTTGTTACGTTATGTTTCCTGTTCTTGCTCTCCCCAACCTTTTCATCCAAAACTAAACCACCTATTTTGTTGTAGGAGGTTTGCAACATCTCTTGCTTTGTTTACTGTATATGCCATTTTTTTCACAGTACATACAATCATTATTCTAGTTACTTCTGTCCCCATGTATATAACTCAAGCTTTCTTGTTTTTTATATGTACCAGGTGAGATACCTGGCTTTTTTATTTATTTTGAGTTACCACTAAGTGTGGTAAACAATCTGAGTCTTGTAATACAGATAAATTGAGTTTGGGTTACTATACTACTGTGCCTGTAATTTCTTTTTGGTCTCAGTGGTGAATACATACTTCATACTTAAGTTATGCTTTAATAGCTGAATACAGATCAACTTAAGTTTGAACTTAAAATTGTTTAAACTGTGTTGTCTTAGAGTCTTGGTTTAACAAATGATATCTTCAGTGAGAGATGAAGTGATAGCGACATTCAGATTTGTAGCCAAAATAGTCAGTTGGAACTGAATTGATCTTTGAGCTTCTCTAATTGTCTTAAATCTTTAATGGATTATTTTTTTAATACATCTTAAGGGTAATATAAAATTGGTCACAAGTATACAAGGCATACCAGCAGGTCTGTTTAATTATATATCGTTTCAGCTGAGCAGTAGGCTCTCATTTTGCAAATTACCATCTAGGTCATCAAGATGAGATGAAGCTGATTTTTTCAGACTTACATTTTAAGTGTAATGCTGCTGCCAGAAATCCTGACAAAGGCTTGCTTTCATCATCAAAGAAACCAAGACCCATGCTGTTAGTTACCTGAAGCAACCATGATGTTTGGTATTACCATGAAATACTACAGCATGATTTTCATCAGATATGTCTAGTGTGACCTTTCAGAAGCTCGTAGTTTGTATGTGCAAGTCTGAAACACCCTTTGGTTTAAAACCAAACTGAGTTACAGCATATTGTGGCATATTATTTGAGTATATTCTTTTTAAATGAGATTTGGCTTTATTTTTTTAAAGTTTCTGTAGGCAAATATGCAGTCAATATTTTTTGCATATTATATGTTTAGAAATACAATGGGATTCATAAATGGATGTAAGGTAAAATGTGAAGAGAGAGTGATTTCATTGTTCTTGATTGTGATCTGTGTCCATTTTACACCTTTGCTACATTTAAAAGTGCTACTTTTTTTTCTATTACTAATGAAACACTAATATTTTAGAAATTAGTAAAAAAAAAAAACAAAAAAAAAACAAAAACAACAACAACAACAAAAAACATTTCATACATGAAATACTAGAATTACTTGGTCAGAATGAAAGTATAAATCTACATAAGTAACAGCCGGTGGGTTTTGGCTGATGTAGCTCTAACAGTCCAAAGCTAGGTTATGTTATTGTGGGAATTCAGGCATTCCTATGATTGTGACACAGTCCATCTGCAGTTACTGAAATCAGGGAAAGTAAGCACATTTTGCAACTGAAGTTCAATAAAGTCTTTGGAGACACCAGTGCAAAAGAACTTTGTCTACATTTTTCTCTGGGGAACATACTGGCAATGTCTGTCAAACTCATCTTAGGTGTTTGTTTGTCACTTGTCTTCCCACTATTTTTAATGTCCTTCCTGAACATCATAGAAATGCAAATGCTTGTCAAGTGCAATGTTGGATCAGTAATCTGTAGACAGTGAAATCTGACTATACTATGTGCTTTGGATTTTCATTAAGGCTGGTGTTTACCTTTTGTTCTCATGAAAAATATGCTTATTTTTAAAAACTTATTCTTAATATTTGCAAGATATTTTTTTTTCTGCCACTGTTGGCAAGCATAAATGCTGTTGTTCTTTTGTAAACAACTGATCTCTTCTTAGAGCAAGAAATATTCTGTCCTTCAGTCTCTGTCCCATTCTTCCCATTGTGGTCTTGAAGGAAGGGGACATGCACAACTGAATGCTACTCTTTGTTTGATATTGAATGTGAGTTGGTTTTGTTCTGTGTTTTAATTCCTTTAAATGAAAAAGAAAAGGGAAAAAAATCACAAAAGGAGTTACATGAAAGCCTAGAGTAGTTTTCACTATTACATATATATACATCTTTGCCTTTGTCAAGAAAATAGTATTTTTCCATTATAACAGCTTCAATTTAGGAACTTGAATTTCTTTAATCAGTCATGCCTTTTATTTTTATTGGCTTTGTCAACTTAAAAATAAGTCTTACAATTCTTATGGATGCAAACCACATATTAGCTTCAGCCAGAGTCAGTTGTGCAGAAGAGCATGGGATGCTGTGCTGCAGTTCAGTTTGTAACTGATATAAACCAGCATGGGGCTGGTGACAGAGGTTACAACACAGGGCAAGAGGATTGGAGTGTTTTGATGTAAGTTCTTGTGGATACTTCCGTTTTGACAAGCATTTGGTAGAAAATGGCAAAATCAACAGAACCTTTATTCTCTCTTAGTTTCTCATTATTACTGAATCAATGTGGAGAGTGTTGCTAATCCATCTAGGCTTCTAGCCTCCTATGTTTGTAATATGAACATAATAGTCTATGTTAAAATGGTGGGAGAAGAGAGTGTGAAGTCAGTAGCTTTCTGTCACCAGTAATATCAACCAAAACCCACTAACTTGTATTTTTGTGTTGTTATCTTGTGTGTTTGCAAGAAACACATTCAACAAAAGGAATTTAATAATTCTTGAGCAGAATAAGTACAATCTTTCTGTATTTTGGGGAGTGGTTAAGTGTTAGCTTGTTAGCTCCCCCTCCAACTTGAGACTTACTCCTGTTGCTGAGTCTTGGTAGGGAGCAGTGGGACTGCTGAGTGACCAGTGAGTCGGCTGTGTATGTTAGACCTGGTCCTGTTTTGCCTGCTCTAACAGAGGACTGCGTTTATTTCTGAATACATGTGGGTATCAGCAAATAGCACTTTCGCATTATACACCAGCTCTTTTATAGTATAATGGTTACATAAGCAGAGCAGCCAGTGGTGGTTGTACTGGCAACTGGGTGCAGTTGATGCAGATGTACAGCAAGCTGGTGAATGACCAAGCACAGCAGGTGTATGTGTGTTGGGTAAGGAGACCACTGCAACAGAAAGTCTTGACTGCAACCAGGTGTGGTTGAACCACAAGTACAGCTGTGATGGACATGCTGTTGTTTAACTGCTGTAATGATCAGTGTAGCATTAATTAGGACTGAATGGACTAGTGAGTTGTCTGTGCTGTATTACAACAAAGTGCTAAAAGGAGATACTGTGGGCTCTCAGCCTGTACTTGTGACACGCATACTTCTGGTTTGGAAGTAGTTCCTACCGGCAATGAAATGACATGTCAGTCAGAGAAATGCATTTAAATAATGCGCGTTGTATTTCTGTTAAGGAACCTGGAACAACCTTCTCACTGTGTATCACAACTGTTTTCCTTTCATATTTGCTTCTGATGCTTTCAGTGTTTTAAAATGTTGCTGGCAGAAAAGTTGCTTTGAGATAGCTTGTTGTAAAGCCATTAGGAAACCCAGTAGCACTGATAGGAAGAGCTATACATGGCTTTTTTATTTTTTCTTTTTCTTTTTATTATTATTTTGAAACTTTATTGAAGAATGGTGTCCATGTGAATAACCTTTAGTTTAGGAGAACTATAATATTTGTATTAAATTGATTTTTTTTATCATTTGTTCTGATCTGAGATTCATGATCTACAGACATTGCATTTGATAATCCTAATAAATTGGACTCCTAGTAAGAAAACAAGATTTATCCCCAATTATGTGTCTAGTTTATTGAAATTAAGACAAAACATAAAACCACTATCATGCAGTTTCTCTTTAGGAAATCTTTGTGTGTGTGTATGTATACACATGCATACTTCTTTTGTTCTTTTTGAACAAACTTGAATGTCACAGAAGAGTAATCCCAACTGAAAGTTTTTGTAGCATTATCTTAAAAAATAAATATTACAGCTAAAATGGAACTCTTATAATCCTACTTCTGATGGTAAGTCAGATGTCAGTAGGCCTAGTAGAAAACTAAGTACTTTTATGTTATTACTTATTTATTTTAATAAAAGATGAGCAGAACTTTATCATGCGTGCAGCTATTGCTATTGGCAAATAGAAACTATACCAGAGCTTGTGTGGAAAGGTGTTTGTTGTTGTTGTTGGCTTTTGTGTGTGTTGTGTGAGCTGTCTTCAGGATAATTTCCTTGAAGTTAACATGACATCTAATGTTACATGTATCCATAAGAGGTCTGAGTAGCCCAGGGTTTATTAAAGCATCTGGTTCCCAATACTTATTTGTATTTTCATTTCTTTCTATAGTGTTCTAGATATATCATAAGTACAGCTTTAAAAGATGCATGGTTCCACATTTTTGAATGAAATTTTACACAACCAATAGTTTTAATAATCGTAGTAGCTTACAGCAGCAAGCTGTTTTTTAATCTAAAGTTACACTTTACCTGATTTTGGTCACAGTTGTTAACAGTTTCTTGTACTCCTAAAGGGGGAAAAAAACAAAACAAAACCAACAGTAACTTTTTAGTTACTTAATGATAATTTTTTCTAGAATACTGAGAGGTCTTATTTCCTATATATAGTACAGCTATTGTGCAACAAACTGTTCTGCAGCAGTGCCTAACATGGATTCTCTGATGCCAATTAATTAAATTAATTAATGTGATAAGCTGGAGAAACAGTATAAACATCTGTAGGGGGGAAAACTTCACACAATGGACTTACCAGATGATTGGACTTACTATGGACTTACTAGATGATTATAATAATGATCCATTTACGTGATAAGTAAGCAACCAGTATTTTGACAAAAAAAAAAAAAGCAAACGTGATTTTAATTTACTGTTTGGGAGAGGGTGGGAGCCATAGACATTTCCCACAGTGCTCCAGTTGCTGCAAGTCTTGGGTGGTGCCAATCAGTTGGTTCTTGGAATAGAGATGTTTCATCCCAGTAACTGTTGCCTATTTTTGCTTTTATGCAGTGATTAATTTCACGTCATAAATAAGTGAATATCACAGTAACTGTGATACATTCACATACTCAGATTTTATTTTATGTAAATCTAGGTTTCTCGTTAAGTTTCTCTGTATTGAAACTCCAGAAGACAAGCTACTTAATATTGTTAGCATTGTCTAGGTAGACTTTACGTTAAACCAGATAAAAATTAAAATAGATAAAAACAACTCTTGTAACTACACATTTTATGCCAAAATTAACAAGCTCCTCCTTACGGTTCTGCGGAGTAATTTCAAATAGCAGAGTTTCTAATTTTTTCCAAGCTGCTGCCCCCTTGCCACCTTTCTGTTGGTCATGCTTAATTTTGGCAATTTAAAATGAGAAACTGGATTTATTCACCTTTCTACACCTAACTTACTGTTTTGTTCTAAGCTTTTAATCAATAAAACAGATACAGATTTTCTATGTTTTTTTTTTTTTTTTTTTTTTTTGTTTGTTAAGGGAAGTATCTTATCTTTTCAAGGAAAAAAAAAGTTTTTAAGAACAGGCATTTGCCTTTTCTGAAATCTGTGATCAAGTTTGAATTTTCAAACAAAGTTTGAATTTAAAGCTTACTGCTTAAGATGTTTCTACTGTTAAAGTCATGATGGATTCTGTATTAAAATGTTGAAAATGCATTTCAATGTTTTCAAACTAGTAAATCCCTGAATTGGTATGCATGTGGGAAGGAGATGAAGGGTTAAATTTAGACTATTTGTCAAGGCAATTAGTTCAGTGATCCAACAAGCCCACCTTTTAGCTGCAAAACATTGTGCTAAAGACATTATTTTGAGCTTCTTTATACTGAATTTCATTAGACCCTCCTATACGCTTTATGTAAGCCCCTTGGCATTTGTTTAGCTTGAATAGTCAGGGATAAAAGAGCTTAGAGTTGGCTCTAAAGCACAGTGTCTGAAGTAGGAAAAAGAGGATTCGGATTGCCTTATGTACCCTGTATTGTTTTCCTTCTCCTTGGGACTGAACACTAATACATGAGCAAACTACCCTGGCGTTTTCAGGTTTTGAAGGGAAAGCCATTCAGTGTGCAGTTTACTGGCTACTAGTATATGTTTATGATATATTAAGAATATTTTTGTCTCTCTTATGTAAAAGTAAGTATTTATTTGAGGGTTTGCATTCATAGCATATATGTTTCTAGTAGTCTTTTGTGAGATATACATGTGTACTTGTAAATATATATTTATTTGTATATTTATATGAGTATATATTTATTTACGTAAGCATGTGCTTGGCTTTTAGGAACTAGGTTTACCAGGTCTTCATGAAAGGAGACTTATTTTTCTCAAGTCATTCAGTATTGTTCACAGCATTAACATATCACTGAACAAATTGTGCTTTTGCATATGCTAATCCTGCACTTAAAAGAACTCATTGTAGCACATTTTAATGCTTTAGCTGGAATGGAGATGGAGATGGGAATCACAGACATGTCAAATTGTCACATGACTGAAAAAATGTTAGAAATGCCTTTCTCTTTGGGTCAACAGTTTGTATGTACCGTATCTGAATGAAAGTAGTCTGTGTAGTTTGAGGAAAAGATTAGTCTTTCTTTTCATCGTGTGTGTGCGTGTGTGTGTGTGTGTGTGTGTGTGTGTGTGTGTTGGCATCAGTTTTCCACACTGGGTCTGAGTAAATAGGATTTTAGCCATAATTTCACACTAAGAGTGAAAGTTATGTCAGGAAAAAAAAATAAAGTGATCTCCATACGTTTGTTGATGATACCCAACTGGAGTTCGACAAAGCTAACAGATGCACACTGCATAACCTCATTTGTTATTCTTTAAAGAGTTAAAGGCAAGTTGTCATGTATCTCTCCATGATTGAAAGAATAAACATACCAAAGCCTCATCTACATATGATTTCCTAGAGGTGAGCAATCAGTTAGGTTATGTTTGAGTCTTTTGTTTGTAAATATATATATGTATATATGTAACAAAAAAAATAATATATATATATATAACAAAAAGATGCACATTACTGATGAATTAACAAGCTTTATTTTCTAAAACAATAAATTTAGTTGAATTAAGTAGTTAAATAGGTGGTGAATGACAAGTGAATTAGACTTTTGGTAAGTTGCGCAACGAAAAACCAAGGTTCTTAGAATGCACTAAGCTGTACATGTTTGCAGGGAGGACTTTGGGATGAATTAAATGGAATGAAAGATTATGTAGGTATTGCATTTCTAAAGCATCTTTAACATGCAGTTTGAATTTTAAGTTATATATAAATGAATCTTGAAAGGAATTTTTGACTGGCCTTGTTTTTTGTCTTTACAGAGTAATTCTCTGTTGGTCCCAGACAGTCTGCGAAGCACAGATAAACGCAGGAATGGCCCTGAATATGCCAATGACATCAAAAAGAGAAAGGTGGATGATAAGGATTCCAGCCACTATGTAAGCAAATCTGTGTTAAAGAAATGATTAATTTATTTGCAGATGTATTTGTAAGAGGAGTAAAAGAGCTGCAAAGCACAAGGCAATGTGTTTTCTATGGCTGCTGTAGTACAGGAATGCATGTGCCAGAGAGACCATTATTCTTGCTGTGGAAATAGTAGTGACTCAATAGTTAGGGCTATTGTCAAGTAATACTTCTCAACAGGGGATAAGGAGCCAGGAGTAGCCATTTGGGATTCACAAGTGCTCTAAGACATTACTCTGACTTCCAGAGGATGTCCTTTCCGGATGGCTCAAAAGCTTACCATACTGCAAGTTTATTTGAAGTGGAAGGGTTTGTTGATTTGGAAGATTTTAGAAGATTTTTCTTATATGAGCTATTATCATGTTGAAAAATAATTACCATTGGAAATAGCGTATGTTATGAGGTAACATATAATAACATATTTAAAAATCCTAAAGTTTGTGTTTGGTTGGTATGTCAGTTTCAGCAGAAAAGAAACTGATATAAACAGCTTGCAGTTTGTGCTCTGCATTTTTGACCAGCATTGCTTACTGCTTCGTTTGAGAGAGGCACTTCAGTACAGTGTGGCCCATGTGAACCTCAGAAGGTTTGCATGTGCTTTCAATTTCAAGGCTAAATGCTCAGCCAGATCGCAGGATGATACTTGAACTGCCTGCGAACAGGGCTGGTGTGAAAGAGCACTGGAAAGAAGAACATCAATCTAACAGCAGATATTATTTGACATAGCAGTAGTATGGTAAAATACCTGGTTTATATGAGTTCAATCAAAAAATTAATTCCTAGCTGCTGAAATCCAAGAGACAATCAAGTGCCCCTTTATTTCCTCAGTGTTTTGCAGCATAATTTCTCACCCCTTAAACCCCAATGCTCTGGGGCAGGAAGGCTGGCTCTCAGTGAATCTTGCAGTGGAGCTACTGATAGCACATTGGCTTTCTTTCCACTTTCCTGCTTATCGTGGTGTTCTCATACTGTTGAGATTTTGCAAGTCATCTTCCCACCACTTTATAATAACATAGATTATAGAAAACTTCTGGCAAACTTCCTCAAACTTACTCCCTTAATTTAAGGGTTTGGTATTCTAGGTGTATTTTTCCTTTCTAATTTGTAAACTGTGCAAGCAAAAAAAACTGCCTTGCTTTTCTTGAAGTTCTGTTAGAAACAAATGAAAAGTATATTGCACTGTAGAAGTATAGTTTGTTTTAATCTGCATTTTAAATGTGCAGCTCTCTTTGCTTTTCTCTTGAGGTGGATTTTGCAAGTAAAGGCAGTAACAAAATAAAAATTAAGCAAAAATAAAATTTATTCTGGTGTAAAAGATGTTTTTTTTTAAAGTTTTCTTAATTCAGCACATGAGTTGCTGAGTTCTAGCTTACTTTAGAAGACGTCCTCAGAGGGTCAACAGGTACCATTGCATTTGTCAGAAGGGAGACAAATGAGCTGTACAAATTTTCACCTTGGAAATAAGATGCTCAAAACACTTCCCCCCCCCCCTTTTTTTTTTTTGACTTGTGACTAGTTTTCATGTTAAGATCTGGATAACTTCAACTTGTAGGTTTGTTAAAGAAGAGAATCTTCTGATATGAACAGTACCTATAGGAATTGCCTGTGATAGCCATAGTAAATTTCTGTGCCTCAAGATGACCAGAGTACATTTAATCATACCTTTGTAACTGTTTTTGCCTGCATTTGAGGTGATATTTCTGTTGAAGAAGTGTCCTATCTATTGTGATTCCACATATTGTAGCCTGTTCTTGCTTGCTGTATCCTTTGTACTTCTCAAATGGTGGCAGATAACCAGGTCCAGAGCTTTTCTGTTTCTTTTCCTGTTGCACCCTTTGATTGGACAGCTTCTGAAGTGACAAATAGAGACACCATTCTCTCTTTTGTGACACTCTTGCACCCCTACTATGTTTAGTGTATTTCTTGAAGCAGTCAGAGCATAAAGGAAGGAAGGATTGTGACCACCTGTAGAGCTTTTGTGTTTTTTTTTTTATTTATTTTTATTTTTTGTTTGTGTGTGTGCATTTTGTTCTGTTTTTTTTTTTTTTTGCTGTTGATGATGGTGGTGGTGGTGGGTTTTTTGTTTTGTTTTTGTTTTGGAGCTAAAGAAAGGAAATGGTCTTGTACTTCATCTGCCAGTGTTAAGTGTGGTAGCCCAAACATGTTGAAAGCACTGCTGATTTAATTCAAGGCATGTGGGACACATTGAACAGTCTTGTAGATCTGATTTGTTTGCCTAGAAACTTTTAAAGTAAAAGTATAGTTATTGGAAATGTCAGACTTGCCACAGGAAAGATTTATTGCTCACCATTCATTTGATTTGTTTTTTATCCAGACGCTTGAGGGTGAACCACCAAGTGGAACTCATTGTATCACTGTGTATCATAGAATGTGTCTGCTGGGTGATCCCAGCATGTTCTGGAGACAGGGACCAAGGCACACTTGAGTAATAGCTGCAGTGGGGCACCAGGGCAGCTCAGGTGAACACAGATTTACGTAAGAATGCATCTCGACAAGCTACAATAACACATTTCAGTTTAACAATGTCAAAGTATTTTGTTTCAGTAGGATGAAATGTTGAAATGTCTTGGCATTTATGAAGCATTTTCTTCCACATAAGTTTCCATTTTCAAAACTTTTCTTTCTTGAAATGGAGAAAATGTTGTGCTGTCACTTTGAAGAAGCTGATTAATGAAACAATTGCCAAAATAATGGAGTTTTAAGATGTTAGTGTGTTTTTTTAACTTATCCACAAGCATTAATATTAACACATAGGAGATTAACACACGAGTGGTATAAGCTTCTTTTTATAGTAAAAATTATAACACTGTTTATGATGGTAGTAAGGAAAGGAATTGGACCGTCTTGCAATGTTAGTAAAGCCACCACCATTCAAATAGTTCTACCTTATATGGGTGTTAATATTGAAGCAGAAGTAAGGTCTTGTATTCTTATTTTCACTGTTTTCCTGATTGCCAATAAATAATTAAAAGCTGTTTTGTTTTTTGTCTAGGAAAAACAACAAATGTGTGAGTAGATATAGTCTCTCTTTCAGCTCTTAATGTACTAATTGAACTATTTATTTTTGATAGGACAGTGATGGGGACAAGAGTGATGATAACTTGGTCGTAGATGTATCCAATGAGGTAACTTTTAATTTATGTGGTATATATATTTAAAAATATGCACCACCTGATCTTTTTATTAATCCTACAGTTATGTGTTCCTCCTAGCTTTGTGATTGCTCTCAGCTTTTTCTTCTGCTGCTTTGCATAGGTCTGGTCGCTCCACAGTTAGAATATAACATTTCACGGCTATTCTGTAGTGGAGACAGCTGTGCAGCTGTGGTGAGGTGCAGATGGAGGTCTGAGATTTCCCAACTGCTATCTTCAAATGAAAAGGGAAAACAGTACTGAACACTGTAGGGGTATTATTAAAACCGTTCTTGTGGATTAAAAATTACTAGTATTTTAACTGCCTATGTTAAAGATGGCATTTTCCGGACATGCTTGTTAGGATGAAGTCTGCACAAGTCAGAATGAAGTCCGTTCAGAAAATTGTCTAGAGGTGGTAGCCACTTTATTTATTTTTCTCCAAAATAGTGGTGTTTTTGTTTTGTATTGTTTTGTTTTTTGACAGTGACATCATGATGAAGGGAATAGTCTTATCTTTTCTTCATCTTAAATTTCATACTACAAAAAGATTTAGGTAGCCTGACTATGGCAGAAACATTCTTATGCTCCATGAAAAGTACAGGGAGAAAAGCTGACAGAGAAGTGTCTCAGCAGCCTCAAGTGCCCAAATGATGTCAGCCAAGTAAAAACAATGTGTATCTAGCTAGGGATTTTAGTAATCTTTTCAGAAGTCCTAGCAAATCAATAGTCTATAATCCTAGTTGTTCAGTAATCCATCAATAGACTAACTCTATGTGAGGATGGCTTCTTGCTGATTTTCTTACGAGCCAAAGGAGCTTGGAGAACCTGCAGAACTGATGGTGTTGTACCTTGTTGGGCAGCAAGTACTTAAGTAAGTGCAAAAAATGCCTCTGGGAGAGAAAGATAATCACTTGAGAGATTATTGCAGTTTTTCTGTAGACTTACGTAGCAAAATAATAGATTTTAGGAAGAAGTAACATATTGTAATATATAAAGTCTGCATCTTTTTCTCTTTTCTGAAGATGGACATGATCAAGGTGTGTTTTCCCTTTAAAAAAAAAAAAAGTGTTACTGAAACAATTGTTTTGACTAGCAGCATGTGAAGAACATACATGGAAGTGTACACTGATTGCAGTTTCTGTAGGTCTTTCTTGCTTATCACTTGTCAGGCATGCTTGCCTTCGTTTGTACTTATATTTACGTAGGTTGCAAGCTCTATGCTTGAAAACAGTTTATGCTAATGTAAGGTAAATAGATCTGGATTTCTTACTATATGGACTTACTTATGTTTCTAGAAGCGATGAAGGGATTTAAGCTTTTTTTCTACAGAGATAGAGAGCAAAATACTATTTCTTTTGAACTTACTGCTTGAATTCTTCTTCCCCCCACACCCCTGGACTCTTTAGTGGTGTTTGTATACCAGATTCTAACAGAAGCATGTGCTGCTTTTTCCTTCCCATTGTTTTAGGATCCCTCCTCCCCACGGGCAAGTCCTACTCATTCACCACGTGAAAATGGTATAGATAAAAGCCGTCTGCTAAAGAAAGATGCCTCTAGCAGTCCAGCATCTACAGCTTCTTCAGGAAGTTCCACGTCCCTCAAATCCAAAGAAATGAGTTTGGTGAGTGTTAGAAGCAGTCTGTTGTCCAGGGAAATGTTCATTTTCTTGTGAGGTCTAACTTTGCATTCTTCTGCAACTATTTTTTTGCAGATGGCACATTTAAGAATTTCAAATTTAAGAATTTGAAGCTGAAGTAGACTTCCAGATATTTGTAGCATTTCAGCTTTTCTTCTCAGCAATAATTTCTCCTTTATTTTGATTTCCTGTATATGCATTTCTGTCAAATGAATTGCACGTTTATTACAAAACACAAGATTCACTTAAGCTATTGCTCAAGAAAAGCATGGTTATGTTCTAACTCTCCCATAGATTTGCATATGGTCACTAAGAAGTTCTCTAGGCTTTTCTTTAATTCTTCTAAGTGAACTGTCACTCTTTGAAATCTCTTTCTGCAGTATAATTAATAATTTGGTCAGGTTCTATGTCACAATTTCGTTGATGTTATCAACTGTGGTGGTACGTTTGTTTTCACTTAGATCTACTGTGTCCAGTAATAGACACAATAGTTAGTTCACGCTAAAATAATTTGGTGATGCTTACTGTATTGTGTCCCCCCCCCGCAAAAAAAAAAAATTAGCTCATGCATTTTTTCTCATGCCAATTGAAGAAAGAAAAATAACATTTATTTTGCTTTTTTAATTTTGGCAGTAATCAAAAAGGTCAGCACTTCTTTCTCACAAGTTAATGTTGTCAGCATTTCATGGATTTATGAAAATTGGCTGGGGGACTAGGTAGTAGATGCCCAGCATCCCAGCTGCTGTTGTGATAAATTGTGTAATATGGCCTGGATTAAAAATAATACTCATTTAATTTGTTTAATGATACCAGCATGAAAAAGCCAGCACGCCTGTCCTGAAATCCAGCACACCAACTCCTCGAACTGACGTGCCAACCCCAGGCACTAGTGCAACTCCAGGACTTCGTCCAGGCGTTGGCAAGCCTCCAACAATGGACCCTCTGGTTAACCAAGCTGGTAAAGCATTGCTTCTCTGTTTTTATAGTTCCAAAATTAATCTTTTTTCCATATGAATGTTAACCAAGTTCTTGTTTCATGGTACTAAGAGAGGGCTTGATGAGATGCAGATGTGTGGATTATCAAGAGTTTGAATATCTTTCCATCTTTTATTCTTTGTTTACTTTTTTCTTTATCTTTTTGGAAATAATCCAGAGACTATGCAGTGAAAGACTTCTGAGAAATTTCTGGCACTTTACTCTGAATGCAATCTCTTCTCCAGCTCTTTGTCTGAATCTACTAATATTTGCTGCAGTGTAAATCTTGACAAATGCAGGGGGAAGTTTACTTTCGCTATTCGGGCTGGTACAGCACAGTTGCTTCAGACGTGAGCTGTGTAAACCATGTCTGTCAGCTTTAGTGCTTAATTTGGCAAAGGAGAGATTAATGTAAACAGGGTAATATTACAGAAATGAAAATGGGCAATGCTGGAAGAGGTTGTTAGAAGTAATCAGCAGGTTCATACCTCAGTAGATCTTATTTACACTGAGTGAAAAGAGGAGGTAGTAGTGTAGATAAATTATGGGAATGTTTCTTGGCTGTGTGTGTGAGGGGAAGGTTAAGTGTTGTAAAAAAAGCTGTCTTCTTCCCTAAGTGCAAGGAAATACAAATAAAACTATTTGCTTTCATTATTCTGTAGCTGCAGGTTTGCGGACACCTTTGGCAGTACCAGGGCCATACCCTGCTCCATTTGGAATGGTGCCTCATGCTGGCATGAATGGAGAGCTAACCAGTCCAGGGGCAGCCTATGCCAGCCTGCACAACATGTCACCCCAGATGAGTGCTGCTGCTGCTGCAGCTGCTGTGGTTGCTTATGGAAGATCTCCTATGGTAGGCCATAAGTTGCATGCAATCTTAGTCGTATGAGTTGCAGTTCACTGAGGAGAGCTGCATGCTTCATTTAATGTGCTGTCGAATTCCCAAGTTATAACAGTGCCAGAGGCTTGACTGCTTCACTGTGTGTTTCGCTTTGCTGCATGGTTGGAGAAACAAATTTGCACCTTGAAAACAAATAATATCACAGTATTGATGTGTTACCTTTTTTTCTTCATCCTCATCAGTACCTTGGTTGATTAATAAATGCCAAATTGTTTATACTTTAAAAAAAAAAAAATAGGTATAAATCGTCTCAATGGTCCTGTGAGCATCTGCTTTTCTTTTGCTGCATAAGATTTGTGATCTGTACAGACACACCAAATTAATTTCAAGTCATGTAGAAGTTATCTACTTTTGTCCTTTTATTTTTTGTGTAAATAAGCATGAAGACTTGGTCAGTTCATGTCTTAAAACTCTGTGATAAGATGTGTTAAGAGGAGCTGCTGTTGTGGGCATAACCCTAACGGACCCTAACCCTGCTTAAGTAAACGGAGTATGGCAGTCATTGCTCCTATTGATCAGAGTAACCTGGGAGCCTGATTCGGCAGAAATGAGCTTGATGGTAATTCTATATATACACAGGCTTACCTACTTGTGAGTTTGCAAGATTGGATTTAAGCTTGTTATTTCTTGTTATTGTAGATGTGGCTACTTTTCTGAACTGGAAAAATCAGGGTTTATTCAAAAATGTGGAAATCCTAAATAACATTTGTACTCCTTGAAGCAATAAGAATTGTGTTTCAGGTAGTGTTCAGAAGGAAAAATGTGTTTGGTCCAGAACGTTTGACTTACTTGGTGTACGTGTTTATTCTGGATTTAGAAGTGTAGTGGAATCGCACTTTGTAAAGACAGCCTGTGTAGTATATTTAAGCCATAGACAAATTTGTGCACACCCTGCAGTGTAGTTCTGCGAGACATCTCCTAGCTGACATGCCTGCACAGTGCAGAGCTGTGCCAAGATCCTAGCAGGGGCCCAAAGCTGCTTCCGAGCACACCACACTGCACCTGCACAGGCCAGCACTCACTGCCACCGAGATACAGAGCACTGGTATGGCTACATGCCGGAGCACTCCCGAGCCCAGCTCCAGGGCGAGTGCCACACTAGCATGCAGGTCTGTGTGTTATGCTCAGTACTGTGAATGTGTGATACACATTACGGGTTTTCTCTTTGAATATGAGTACTTCTAGCAGAAGCATGTTGGGGGCAAAACTTGTTTTGTCTATTACTTCTGCCTACCTAATTTTGTGGGTAAAAGCTATACTTTGGTTAAATGCATAATACCTAGGAAGGGAAGAAATGCTTGCTGAATGAGAAATTGCAAGTGTGAGATTAATTCATTTTTCATTGTCAGGTTGGGTTTGATCCTCCTCCTCACATGAGAGTACCTGGAATCCCTCCAAATCTAGCAGGCATTCCTGGAGGAAAACCGTAAGTAACCTTTTAAGACTTCAGTAACATCTGCAACATCTAGAGAGAATACAGCTATATTATCTGTGAACAGGAATTCCAAAGAGGGTAGTATCTGGTTGTTCCCAAGAGATTGTTTCAAACTTCTCCTGGCAAGTATGTACAACATAAAAGTTCTAGGATGGTAGTTGACATGTCCCAAAACAGATGTGCACGTACTGGTTTCCAAGCAAAATCTGTTGAAGGTGCATCTTGTGTATTTTATTTTATATTATTTATTTCCTCTTTTCTAAGAGAAGGGAACTACAAACTGGTAGATAGTCATAAAATGTGCAAAAAAAAGACTGATACTCAACTTCATACTATACTGAGCATAAAACTGGAGTACAAACTCAGTGTCCTTGTCTAGCACCTGTTTTAACAAGCATGAGAGTCTGAAACTTTGATTGAAGTGGGTATCTGAAGCAGTTATTTTAGCAACTGATACATACTTTGTGTACTGGAGCAAGCTTTAAAAAATGCTTTTGTAAGTATGCAGCTGGAGAGAAAATGGATGAGGAACCAGTTGTACAGCTGGTGGTGTATAGATGTAGTATAACTTTCACAACTTATTATTGTTAAAGACTTTTAATTACTGGTAGAGGTGTCTTGAATGAAATACTGCTGCTGTGGTACTCTGGTGAATTTATTCACCAAAGCATCATATTGATGCTGTTTTATTTTTACTTTTTTTCCCAGTAATTTGGCTCTGGTAAAATGTTGAGACCCGACTTAACCATGTGCAGTTGTCATGAGCATGTATGATTTCCTTAAAAAAAAAAAAAAAAAGTGTATTTTATAAATATTCGTGCAAAAGCAGTCTACACAGATCCAAACATGCAAGTTAGATTAATGTGTTTTCTTGGAGAGAATCATAGATGCCATAGATACCACCAATCATAGATACCACAAAGTCGAACCATTAACTTAGCACTGTCAAGTCTACTGCTAAACCACATCCCCAGGCACCACATCTACACATCTTTTGAATACCTCCAAGGATGATGACTCTACCACTTCCCTAGACTGCTTGTTCTAGTGCTTCACAACCCGTGAATGCAGAGGGAATTAAAACACTTTTTTGACACTGTTAAAGGTTAATATCTATTGATAAGTTGTAATGTCAGTCATGCAATCATCCTTAAGTATTCACCAATTTTGGGGGAAAAAAAGTTTTCTACTCTTTTTCCATAGCAGTAGGAAAGCAGTAGGCTTTTTATATTATAAATGTCATGTTAGATGTGTTTTCGTTCTTATCCACCATGTTTCTGAGAACAGACCTAACTATTTGTTGGCAGTGTGAGAAAGTTCTTATATCTTGGATTTACTTGTAGAAAAGTTGGTGGTATGTTGACAAGACTACTGAATCAAGGAGTCTGAGTTGGTGTTATGTATCAGATGGTGGTGTATTTAAACTTAGCACATTTAAAGAACATGCTTTGTTCTTAAAATATTCTCTTGTTAAGGGTCAAACTCATTCTTGCTGACTTCATTAGAATTTGGTAACCTTAAATAAAATATTTTTGGAGATCACACAGTGCAGTGATTGTAAGTTTTTACTTTTAATCAAGTGTATTCGCAAGCTTTCGGTGACTTATTCCATTAGTAATGTTTAGCAAAATACATGATGAAAACCTATTTTTGTTCAGTCAGAACTGGTCTGTGGCTGAATCCTACCTGTTGCATTGCTCAAGGCACAAAAACAGTACTTGTGTAATTTTATAATTTCTATGATAGTATTTCATAGCTAAATTATGGTGTCTCTTTTTTTTTTTATTCAAATTTTATTTAGTCTTTTCAGCTCTTTATTCATACTGCTTCATAGATCACTACTTTGATGTGTGGCCCCTAATCTCCTCTTGACTTGATGTGTTCTGTACTGTTTTTTGTGTTTTTCGATGTTTTTCATATTATTTGGACTGTCAGTCGTTTCCACTGCAGGATCTTCTTTGCTTGTCTTTATTAAATGTGTCAAACCTAAATTTCCAGAAACTGAACTGTTGTCTTTCCATTGATAACTTTAGAATCACCTTGTCTTAGTCTTATTTGGCTATGTATACCTAGATGCAGTGCACTATGTGCAACATCTTTGTGTAGTTTTTGTCTGCATTAGTCAAGTCTCCTATGTTATCTATACAGAGTATGTGTTAAATAGTTATGTAAACTAATGGAATACTCTAGGTATATTTTCAAAATCTGATTTATCCAAGAGTCCAGCTAAGGTGCCACATTTATATTGCTTTATGAGGTGTGGAGTTCTAGTAAGTGGTAAAGAAAACTTTCAGATTGAACTCTATAAAATCTCCAGCTATATGTGTATGTTCACCAGGGCAGGTTTTTATCAACAGCACTGTTTTTTCACGCAGCCCTGCTTCCAGGAGAAACATCACCTTCTTCCCAAAGGAATGACATGTCTGATAGCATCCAATTGTCTTTAACCCTTGTGTATTCTGAGATCTGTTAATGGTCTAGCTTGTTAGAAACATTAATAGCCTCTTAAGAACCTAGTTGTACTCATTTATCTACTCTTGTCAAGGGAATGCTGTCTGGAAAGCTTGTCCATTGCTTATTTTGTAACTGGACGAAATGTTAAGTGTTTACTATCATCTTTGTGTCTTCCTGAATATGAATCCGACAATTTTGCTCTGTGCAGTCTAACCCTGTTATCAGTGATTATAGATGTATTTTGACAATGGAGGTAGCAATACGGAAATTTGAATTGTCCTCACTAATTTCTTAAATAAAAGAGCTAGGCATTGCATTTGATAGCAAGTTTTTTTTGTTTCTTTGTTTATTATTATTTCTCTTTGAGCATTTCCTTTGGGGCTTTTCACGTTCTTCATATTAATATGATATTTCTCTGCACATACATGTTGTCTCACATTACTTGTTTTCTCTCTTCAGCTGGTCAGTAATTAATTTGAAGGAAAAAGACTTGATGTCTGTATGTGTGGACAAATATGCAAAAAAATGTGGTTTAATATCCTTGTTTTCAAAGTGGCTTCTTGCCAGTAAATTACTCTTTTCTTAGCAGCTGTTCTTGCCCCTAGCGCCAACATCCCTTCCAAGTTGCCTTGAGCCATTACCTAATCAGTAATTGTCTTGGGTGGTGATGGGGAATATCAGTCCTGTTTTGGGCATGGACATTCTTCTTTCTTTTTTTTTTTTCTATTCACTGAATTATGCCCTGTGCTCTAAGTTCTTGGTGTGTGGCTGTAAACATTTTCTGTTTCACATAGCCTTTCTACCAAAGTAATTATTTAGCTTTTAGCATTCTTGTGGATTTCTCCATAATGTGAACCACACCTTCTAATAGTTGGATGGTGTAATGAACACAGATTTTCAAGTTCTTTGAGACATATGTCCATAGTGTTGCTCATCTGATGTCTAAAACTGTGAAGTAATGGTGATACTGAAGTCAAGTGTATTTCTTTTTTTTTTTTTTTTTTTTTTTTTGTAGCTTCATTTGGACTGTGAGGTGTTAGACACCAGAAAGAGATGAAAATGTTTTCTCTTTTAGTAGGACAAGGGAATTTCATTTGGTAAATATTAACTCTTGTAAGTTCTAGGTATGAGCAAATTTCTGTGTTTTCAGAGGGGAATAGTATACTGTTCTGGAACTGCTCAAAACAACAACAAAAAAAAGTTTTCTGTTCAATCAGTCTTTACATTCTGTGAATGTAAAAAAGGAAACATTTTAAAGGAAAGATAATTTTACTGTATTCCAGAATAATGGATTGTTGTTTTCCCAATTGTATTTATGGATAGAAGTTAAAAGGATGTATGAAGTTGAAAGGATTTGTTATTTCTATAAAATATCTTTATTCCTAATTCTTGACCTTTCGCTCCATATATTGAAACACCACACATAGATATTCAATGTTTTTTGTGATAATGACAACTGAAAATAAACTGGGGCACAAAGTAGAGCTGAAAGTAAAATGCACTTATCAACAGAAGAAACAGTCTGCTTTTATGTTCTTCAACTGAGATATTTCTGTGCTAGTTAAGCAATTCCGTTTGAATTGGAGAGATGAACTGGAAGCTGTTTTTTTTCCCTTTTTTAACATGTTACTTTAAGGCAGAAAGTGCACTCATTATATTGATCTGAATACTTAGAGTAGCTAGGTTGGTAGTTGATTTGCCATGTTCTTGAGCAGTGAATTAATGTGGAAGCCTGTTCTTCTTGAAGAGGAGAAAACCTTTTATTTACTCACATCAACATGTGAGAAGGTAGTCTTGTAACTGCTATTTTCTGTGCTAAACTTTACTTTTTGTTCTTCATTCCAGTACAGTTCTTCTACTGTGTTATTTCAATATAATACTTAGTTAAATATGAGTGTAAGTACAGATATCAATTGATATGTTCTTAGTTTAGAATCATATAGTCATTGAATAATTTGGATTGGAAGGGGCCATTGAGTTCCAACCCTCCTGCCATGGGCCAGGGACACCTCCCACCAGACCAGGTTGCTCAAAGCCCCATCCAGCCTGGCCTTGAACACCTCCAGGGATGGGGCATCCACAGCTTCTCTGGGCAACCTGTTCCAGTACCTCACCACCTGCATAGTAACATTTTTTTTTTCCAGATAACCTGATCTAACCCAACCCATTTTTAGCTTATCCCCTGTTCTGTCACTACTCTCCCTGATAAAGAGGCCCTCTCCATTTTTCCCTAGTGGCCTCCTTTAAATGTTGGAAGGCCACTGTCAGGTGTCCCCCAAAGAGAGTTCTCTAGGCTGAACAACTCCAATTTTCTCCTATAAAGCCTTTCTTCATAGGAGGGGTGCTCTAGTCATCTGGTCATCTTCATGGTCTTCCTCTGGAGCCGCTCAGAGGGGTTTGTGTCTTTCTCATGCTGGGTGCCCCAGAGCTGAACATAGTACTCCAAGTGAGGTCTTGCAAGAGTGGACTACATAGAGTCATCTCACTTGAGCTGTGGCCATACTTCTTCTGATACAGGCCAGGACTTGCTGTTTAAT